AAAAGGCAGGGAAATTTGATGGAGTACCTCAAAGTTTGATGCAAAAGCGCATGATCGCACCGGCTCACTTGGTGCGTTCCAGCCTGGTCTTTACATTTTGTCAGGCAGTGAACTGCTGCTGTCGGACAAACTTTCGCCATGTAGCACTTGTCTTTACAGACAAAACAGGTCACCTCTTTGTGACCCTTGTTTTGAATTACCGTCCCTCGTCCGGACCGCGTTACCTTCACCTAATTTTCTTTCCTTCTGCGATCTTCATCTTTTCCAGCCTTTTTGCTGTTACTTTCTGGTGACCGTATGCCTTTCTTGGGCTACCTTGCCCTGAGCTACGATGTTGTCAGGGGTATGTTCTGAATGGGGACGCCTTTCTTACACTCTTCCTGGCCCTCTCATACTCCAGCGTGACTTCCTTCAGGGCCTTGCACAGCTCCCCATTCTTCGACTGGGATACAGCAGTAATTACTGTGGTAGCAAGTCCATTTATTCTCAAAGCTTGTTTCGCGATTCCGCATTTCTCGTCTATGAAGTAAAGCTTTCTATAAATCATACCAGGATAAGCTGCTGCGACCTCTCGGTCGATGTACTAAAACAGCTCAACCAACGGTTCCCCTTTTCTAAATTCCAGTTTGCTTAAATTATTCTACAACCCAGTGCGGGTGGTCCTCAAGGAAACCACTATCACTTTCCTCAAAGAGCGCACAACTTCCTCGAATGTGCCTTTCTTTCGCACATAGGTTGATTTCCCCAGAAAAGAATTCAGCGCGAGTCTCTTCAAATAGGAACGCAAGTAGTGAACTTTCGTTGCGTCTGTTTCACATCCATACCTCAGTTTAAATTCTTCAATAAAATCATTAAACTTCATCTCACTCCCCTCTCCCTTTCCCGAGTATTTTTCCAGAGGAAGTTGCAATTTCATCCGCTGTGCTATCTGCAGCATAGCCTGCATCCAGATTGATTTGCGGCTTTCGTCTCCCGCACTGGCTCCAAGTGATAAATCATCAACGGAACTGTACTGGTCCTGCCCGATTCTTGGCGCAGACTCGTGCTCCTTTATTCCTACACTCTCACTACGTTCTAAACGGTCGATTTCACTTTCGGCCGCATTTATCATTTTTTTGTCGCGTTCCACTCTGCGCGGTCGCATCCATTTCGATTCGCTCTGCTTACTTCTACCTCCTGAGCCGACGTTATGCAGTCGACTCTACCTTTTCTCGCGCTTATTATTATGCGTTTTTGAATATATGCAAATTGCAGAAGCGCATAGTGGGAAGAGGCTGTGTGTCTGCACTTTTTTCACCCACTTTCAACTCGAGAACCAGAAAAGCAAGAAGGCTGAAACTTTTGGAGTATGTGCTCATACCATGCCCGACTCTTCTATTTTAATATCATCTCCCGCGGACGCCTGGTTGCCGCGTACGGATATGGGGCTGAAACTCTGTAGGGATATTCCCTGTGCACGTTTTAGTTAAAGATTTCAAATTCAGCTCCCAGGTATGCGTGATAGCCAAGTAAGGGCGTATGAAAGTTTTGGTGTGAAAATTGCTAAAGTGGGAACCAGAAAAGCTAGAAAGTTGAAATTTTGGTGAAATGTTCCCTGTCCAAATACAATTTAAGCATTTCAAATTGAGCTTTCAATTGTGCGTGGTTCTCATGTACAATCATGTGAAAGATTCTGCGGGAAAATTATTAACTCGGGAACCAGAAAAGCTAGAATGCTGAAATTTTAGGGGATGTTTCTTATCTAAGTACAGTTTAGGTTTTTCGAATTCAGCCTCGAGGTATGCGTAGCTGTTACATACGGTCACTTAAAGTTGTAGTGGAAAAATTTCTCACTGAACAGCTAGGTTACTTTTAAAGAACGACCGTTAAGCGGAAATTACACATTTACTATATGCAAAGTTTATGGTGATTTATTCTAATAACCCCAAAAGGTAGGTGTAAAGCAACAATCATTTACACAATTAATGACCAGAGTACTTCAAATCCGATGCAAAAACGTATGATCGCACAGGCCTGCCCGGTGCGTTCCAGCCTGGGTTGTTATTTTATCAGTCGACCTCGCGCGGTCGCATGCGCTGCGACCCGTCGTCCTCCGCTATTCACCCGTGGCGCTCGTTCGTTCATCTCCATTTTTTCGTCTCTTTAACGCACCCCTTTCTTTTCTTAGCTGGTCTATCCGAGCTTGCAGCTCACGCTCTACTTTTTTAGAGTTGCGCAGTTGCCCTATCACAAACTCTCAGCGATTCATAACCTCTCGCTTTGAGTTCCTTCCTCATTTTAGCTGCTCCATTAAGCGCTTCCCATAACCGCATAGGCGAGGCAGTTTCAAATTCTTTCGCTACTTCTTCCCAGTCTCTTGCCTTTCGACCTTCGTCCTCAATATCTGATCTGCCATCCAGGACCTTTCTCAGGACATCTCTCAGGTCGTCCTGCTTTCTGTCCCATTCAAGGCCTTCCACTCACGGCTCGAAACAAATCTCTATTTTGGACGAAAGACCTCGCGTCATCCTGCCCTGCGCGACCAGACGCCTTTTCACCCTTGCGCAACGCCTCCTGGACGTGGGATGTAACTCGACAGTTTTTTGGGACAAAATAGCCGAAGCAGTGGAATGGGCTGAGAGAAGTAGTTTATAGTACTTGAGGCAAAAATTAAAGAGGTGTTTTGTTTGTTTCTTTGAACGCTTTTCCGCCCAGGTCCAGCCTTCTCTTCCTCCTCCTGATCGTTACATGGGGGCTGAGCCGATCCGACATAGATTTCGGATTCTGTGCGCGTAGGGGAGCGACTGAGAGTCAGCTAAGACTTCTAGTCGCGCGTAAGCTGAAGAGCGAGTGAGTGCTGAAGGCGAGCACACAAGGCTCCGAAGCTAAAAAGTGTAGAAGGAATGAGGAGTGCACCTCGGAGAACAGTTACAATGCGTTGACGGCAAAGTATTGTTAAAGGTCATTGACAACGTTTGAAAAAATGTGTCGGATTGCAGTGAGCGTAGTGAAGTGGGAAAGAATTTTCCCGGACCCCGGAGGAGAACGAGTTGGAGTGGGAGGATGCGCAACACCTCTGGACGTAAGGTATAGCTAGGCAGTTTTTCGGGACGAACTAGCCAAAGCAGTGGAATGGGCCGAGGGTGGTAGTTTGGAGTATCTTGAGACAAGAATTAAAGAGGTGTTTTGTTTACTTGTTTGAGCGCCTTTCCACCCAGGCCCAGCCTCGTTCTCCTCCGATTGTCACACGCGACTTCTGTTGCGCGCAAACTGTAGTGATAATTAAGTATTCAATTTTTTTTTCTTTGATTTCAGAAACCTCGTACTTGAAAAAGTTAATTCGTGTCACCGATGTTTCTGTTGCGATGTTCCTGAATGTTAACTGGTGTCAGGCAGGAAACTCAGCGCTTCGGGCGCTGTCTACACTTTTAATACCGATAATATTGTCGTGTCTGGCACTACTTCCATTCGAAACTTGTCACTGTTTTAACCTGAAGAGGCAACAGCGCTTTTCCGATTACGATGATGAAGCGCATCCTGAGAACGAATCCGAGCAGCAAGAGGCGCAGCAGGATGGCACAATGCAAAGCAGTAGTTTACTTTCCAATAAAAATGTCAGCACTGAACTTCTTCCATATCCAAAAACTAGCTCTCACGGCATCGTGGAAGCTATTCTAAACAATGAAAATGTCACGGATTCTACTGCAAAGGGCGATCGAGCGAAAAATAGTGTAAGTGAATTACTTGCAAGCATCATATCGAACTTGAAATTTCTTCACTTACAAAGCCAGACCCCACAAGCTGAGTAAGCAGAGGCGTGCTGAGATCACCATGGTCCCAACAGTTGCAAGTTTTTATGCGTTTTTAGCATGAGTAATGCAAAAAACATATTGCAGACAGGCTGTCTGTGTGTATCTGTGTGTGCATGTGTGTGTGCGTGTATGTGTCTTTGTGTTTCTGTGGGGACGTAACATATCGAGACCTACAAAGACTATAGGACTGGAACTTTGAAAACTTAGTCTGCACCTGTCTGCTAGGCCTAAAACAATCGTTAAAATCCTTTGAAAGATTTTTTAGCGGGCAAGTGATTTCGGGGACCAAATAAACCAGAAGACCGAAAATGCGCGAAGATGTTCCTTGCCCATTTGTGACCTAAGGAATAGTAGGTCTCACATACTTAAAAGTCAAAGTTTAAACTGACAACACAGGATTTAGACTGAGCTGAGAGCTGTAATTTTACGATGTTGTTTACAGTCCACTGACGTGCTCCTAAAAGTAATTTGAACTTTCGTGTACGTTTGTCTCACACATGCTTCTCATGTGGACACGTGCAATTTAATGCAACTCCATGCCAAAGCACCTAGAATGCTAAAATTTTTTAAGCATGGTTCACTACGATATTTGGATAGGAGCACATAAAAACAATCTTGTGCATGTACGAGTACATGAAGTTTGACGTAACTTCACAACTTAAGCAGCTAGAATGTCAGAATTGTTTGGAAAGGCGTACGTAAAAAAAACGTTTATGTTTTCCGCCCTGTCAAATTGCAATCTTTTATTGAATTACGCAAAATTTTTATGCGTTTTTGCTGTGCAGCGATCAGCGCTATAGCGCTGCTACATCGCTGCACAGCAAAAACAATTTCAGCACTGCGCTATAGCGCTACTACAGCCAGCAAAAACGCATATTGTCGAGAGGATGTGTATGTGTGTGTGTGTGTGTGTGTGTGTGTGTGTGTGCGTGTGTGTGTGCGGAAAGCGAGCGCATTTTGTCACCCACTTTCATCTCAGCAACGAGGAAAGCTGGGAGGCTGAAACTTTGGATATATGTTCCTACCCCGTGTGTCATCCTCCCTCTTTAAGATCTTTTCCCATACGTGCCTAAACCCCGCGTACGGGACCTCCAAAGAAATTTTTTGGCGGGAAACGATTTCGCGAACCAGGCAACGTAGAAAGCTGAAACTTTGCAGGGATATTCTCCATATTCTCCACGCAAGGTAAAAGTTTTAAACTCAGCTCTCTAGCTCCCCAACCACAGCCTCAGGCAGC